CTATTTTTTTAAATTCTATTAGATGGTAAATGACTGTTTTTTCACCGGTTGGTAGGTAGAAATCTATTCAAAGGTTGTGACCAAAATGTTACCGTGGTATCATTTTCACGATGTACGCTACCAACTGTGCGTTTTAATTAATTTATCCAGCTTCACATTATTCAATCGCTAAAATAACAACGGTATTTTGAATTGTACCGTCCTTATTTAGGACAAAAGGAATATGATTCTACCAGCTTTTATAAGTTCATTTCAATGTATATATCGCAAATTCAAGATAGTATTTGTAGAACGTGAGAAATGTCGATGAAATATAAAATCGAGAATAAAAGTCGATCATAAGTATAAAGAAAGAGTAAAGCATGATTTATAAGAAAATAACTATGATATTTATAAAATAATTTTAAGTCGCAAAGATGAATAATCGGTCAGTATTATTGATATCATGAAAAATTACTTTTCCTTGCCCCTTTCACTGGGAGTCATCTACACACACATATACGTCATATACAAAACTAAGCATCAATTTTTTAGTAAGTGTAGTTAGTTAATTTTGAATCATAAAACACATTCAGATAAGTGTTAAAATAGCTTTTTTTATGTCTGAATTATTCATTAATCACGAAGGAGAAGTTGAAACTTGATTAGACACATTTATTTTTGTATAACTCCTCCTAAGCTAAAGTGAATCAAGTGTAATAACATTGAGATATTATCATATAAAAGGCAACGAATACTGAATAACAACAAAGGATTATTTAGATGAGCACACTCAAATTACATTTTCGCTTCTTGCAAAAGGTCAATTTTTTATACACTAAAACAAAAGAGATGTTTTGTTCTCTAATAAACGAACAGGTCGTATCTATGTCCACCAATCAGAAAATTTGTGACTGTTTTTTCTTTCCTCTTAATAAATGAAAACACAATCTTAGTACAAAGTATATTATTATGAATACACGAGCATTCCTTTGTAATACAAGCGGCCTGATTTCATTTTATGTATGTTTTACCAAAAAAAAATATTAATGAAAACTATATTAAAAGTCACTTTTATATTATCTTTACGTTCTTGACTAAAAATATTAAACAATATAATTGAAAACAAATTCTAATTAACAAAATAATTTGTAAAATATATCATGATGTTCCATTTATAATTCATTATCTTTCAAATCTTTTTATTACGTGTCTAAAATCTAGGTAGTGTGAGCCTTCAAAAAATAACAAAATAAGTATCTTACAAATATAAACAAAAAGCCCACATTCAATTACGAGTAATTTAGTTGACCTTAATAATTGATTAAAGAAAAAATAAAAATAAAAAATTATAATTTAAGATATATCTTAATTTAAAATATTTAAGTTTTTTTTAATATAAACTTTTATTAAAACCTTGTTTAGTATATTATGAATAAATGAAGCCTTTAAATTTATTTTTTTATTAATATTTCATCCTTTAAACGTGTAAAATATAGGGAAAAGTGTCTGTAGATTATTTAATAAAACTAAATCCCTTACTTCTCAACAGATCGTTTTATAGTATCGTGATATTATATAGGAGCTTAGTCTGCGGCTACGAATAATTTTAAATTTAAATACACCCGCAAAGTAACATTATATATTCACAAGTTAAAAAATGAAATATTTACTATTTTGTTAAGTACATTGTATCGATTAGAAGCATGGTTATGCCAAGAAACTCTGCAACCATTTAGTTTACAAGTCTCGGTTGAGCTTTAATTTTAGTTTTCTCCAACGTGTATGTATGTATCTACCTTAACGTGTCCTTACAAAAAAAGGTGAGTATATTTTTGATCATTTTATTTGAGATAAAAAAAATTGAAGGATGAATCATCTGATTCATCTTTCAGTTTTTTAGTTCAGTTTTATAACTTTCTAGATTAATTAAAAGAAATACAATGTTATTAACATTTACAAAAATCTAAATAATGTCAGTTTCTGAAGGAATGATGTTGCTTGGGTGCATCTTCATATTAAGATAAAATATAATATTCCCACTCGTTGAATATTTATTTATCACTCATCAAACTATTGTCTGAGCATTACTGTTTGTTAATAAGGATTTCATAATTGGTCAATAATTTATTTGGTAATAAGCAAAAAATGTCACTAGTTTCATGAGGAACAAGTTAAGAATGGGTAAGGAATAAGTTTGGTAATAATTGTACACTATCAAAAAGTCACATTAATAATGAAATAAATATGCAATGACTGTTAACAATATTTCTTAATAAAGTATTAAACAATAGTACTTCCCTAAATGTCCATTAAGATTAGATTAAAAAAGAAATTTTATCTTAAATTTGTCTTGTAAATATAATTTCTTTATCATACAACAATTCGTTGGAATTGTTGCAAAAGTGTAAATTTCGTTTAATTTAATACAAGAGTATTTTAATAACTAATTACACATTCATTTTAAGATTGTACCAATTAAAATTATTATTGAACTATTTTATATCCAGTGCTTTTGATACACTGATTCCCTGAGCATTTCTTCTATGGTATGATTCCTTCTTATTACTTTATAATAGGATCCATTTCTGTATCATCAATTAATAACGCAGTATTGTTAGTAAGAGTGTCTTCTATCTTTTAGAATTTAAAGGCCGTATGAAATTAATTAACTTGGCTTTGTTGTCTAGTGAACTTATTTCACTTCAGAGCTTCATTGTGGTCTAATTTTCTAGTAGAATATGAATTATGTTGTTTTAATTATAGTGATGTCTCTCAGAATCTAGTTGATAAGGAAGTGCGCGTCACATACTACTTTTCATACTTATCTTTTCCTTGTAACAAAAGTAACGAAAAATATTCCGATAAGACACTTGCCGCATACTTTCCGCTAGAGAAAAGTTTCCCTACACCGACGACGATAGAGCTTAATATGCAGAGCTCAATAATCTTCGATCGTTTCACTCGCTTTTCAAAAACCCACTTTAGTCGAGAGGTTTAAGTTACAACATATTTCATAAATACGGTCCTACCAAGATATGAAGAAAGAGGTCACAGGTTTCCAATTTTTGTCATATATCTTATAACCGTACTCAAGTCCGGTAATACTACAAAAATTAAGCCTTTCCATCATTGCTAGGAATTGATAGATAAGCATTTTATGTTTATAAGAATAATTGTAAAAAAGTAAAACAAGATAGAGAGCTGTTATGTTAGTATGAGATAATAATATAAATTTACTCTCACAGGTACAATGTTAGTACCTACTTACATACATTCTCCCTTGTATGTTTAATTCAATAAGAAGATAGTCTTTAAGTTTAACCTAGTTTTGTTGTACATTTTGAGCGAAATGTATTTTTACTTTTTGAAAACGCCTAAGTCGTATTTAAACCGATACTTTTTAGGGTTTTATGAAAATATATTGCATATTTTTATTAAAGGACACTAAAAATTTTATAAACATCGTATATATGTATGTTTGTCCTTATTATAAGTTATTTTATACCTTTTGTAGGATATATTCGACCCATATTATATAACTTTTTGTTTGTTTTTCGTAAATGTTTTTAAAACATTTTTTTTATGACTACCGTATCATCAACGACAAACATAACATGACCGACATCATGTTTTTTTTAAACTGATAAAAAAATAGACCACTGTGTGGCTATTACTTTCAACAATATACATAGATAAAGCCCTTTGTTTCTTCATAAGATTTCAAAATTTAAATAAAAAATTCCTATCCCCGGAATTTTATTTATAACATCTAGCTCATAAACGACATGTTGTTTAAAAAGAGTTTATTAAGAGGAAATATTAACATCAATGACGTAATAAAACATAATATTTTACATAAAATAATGTAAATTATTTTCTAGTAATATATAAATTCATAATGAACATTTATAGAAATTAAAAAATATTCACTATAATCTGTATCAAGGGTGTATCTACACCCTTGAAAAGAAAAACGTGACTATTTATGGGATGATGTTGTACATATTTGCCATAATCACTTCAACAAAGATTTATTTCACATTTACTTAATAACAACACACGCTTCTCACAATTTTCCATTAATATAAAAGCATTTATCATATTTATCTTTACTTAGAACACAAGAAAAATCGAACGAGTGGATAATAATAAACAACCAAAGAATGTTACGAGTATAAACTAAAGAGTAAGTGAGAAACAGAAAATTTTAGTTAGGTATTATAGGAACTTCGAATAAAATTTCAGATGACGGCTATATTTGAAAAATGTTTTACATTTTTTATGAAAAATTACGTAAGCAATTTTTTCTTACTTTACTTAAACCTTAACCTAAAAGTAACTAGACTTACCTTTGATGGGTGTCATTAGAGACTGGATAATCAATCACATGTACTGTTACACATCAATCTACGTCAACACAATATGGCTTTAGATGATTTTAGGATAAAAATATGCATGAAAAAGAAATTCAGTGAGGTATCGTTTTATTTATTAAAATTATTTTTTTATTAAAACAGTTTTATCTCCTTCATTAAAGCAACTAAGGTTCCACGCGGTCTACGCTTATATATTAAATTTTTACCAAATCACCAGAAAGGGTTTTTACCCGGGATTTCTGGATGCCTAGAACACAACACCTTGCTGTCGGAGAGTTTGAAAGATGCTAGAAAAAGCGAGCGGCAAATCACTGTTTGTTGGATAGACTTGGAGAATGCGTTCGGGTCGATACAACACGAATTGATGCTATTCGCGCTTAGATGGTACAACTTTCCACCCCTAGTTAGTGATATGATCGCGTCGTATTACTCAAAATTAAGGTTTTCTATAATAACTAAAAAAGGCCCTTCAAAAAGTTTGAGTTATAATGTAGGACTGTTTCAAGGTTGTTCTTTATCTCCAATTGCGTTTAACATCGTAATTAACATCTTAGTAGACAAATTAATCTGTAATGAAAAATGGGGTTATCGGTTTAAGTTTAATAATAAATACACGGAATCCATTTTAGCCTTCGTTTTGGGATGAGTCTAAAAAGGCCATCGGAGCTCTATAAACACCTAAGAGTTTCCAAGAGATATATCCTGGGGAAATCCCATGATGACGTAGTGACATCGCTCCCAAAAGATGAAGATGCCCCCGAGCTAGAGTCACGACTTCAATTCCAAAAGCAATTTATGATAGGAGCACAAAGTAACAGAGTGGGGTTAGGATCGAATAGGAGAGTCCAAGATGCGGATATATTGAAGTCTTTTATTCGGCAAGACGAGAATGATAAATATAAGATCCATGCAATGAATTTAGAAATGCAGAACGAGTGTTTAGACATAGGAGATTTTTGCATCCCATTAGCATTAAAATGGCGCACTTTAATTTATGATTGGTCGCCAGCATTGCTAAAATTCTATCTCAATGCGTTCCAGATGACTCTCCCAGATCAGAGTAATTTAGTAAGATGGGGTAAAAGTACCGAAAAAACTTGCTATATCTGTGGAAAGGCAGTTGGAACTGCTAAGCATCTGCTGGTGGGATGTAAGGTACTCCTGGACAGCGGTCAATACTCGCGTCGTCACGATAGGGTTCTAGAAGTCATACGTGAAGCGGTTAGTCTTTCGGTAGCCAGAGCGCAAACGGAAATAACCACAAACGAACGATCAGTAGGTTTTGTGAGAGAAGGCTCTAGGGCTACAAAATCAAACGTCAAGCCCTACTCCATCCTTAAAGCGGCGTCGGATTGGACTATAATGATGGACACGTATGAAAAACAATATAAAATCCCCGAGGATATTTGTGCGTCGGCCTCCAGACCGGATATATTTTTGTTTTCGCGAATTTTAAAGCGCGTAGTGATGATAGAGCTTACGGTCCCTTGGGAAACCAACATCCCCAAAGACCATACCATCAAGGCCAACAAATATTACGAGCTCACAAACGAACTCACTCGAAATAGGTTCGTAGTAGATTTGTACGCGGTAGAGGTGGGAGCGAGAGGTATAACAGCGAAATCTCTCTATAACCTACTAAAGGACTTGGGCTTGTCCAGAACTCACATTAATGCATTCTTGGAACGTACATCGAAGGCAGCCCTAGTAGGTTCTTTTCACATTTGGTTAGGTAGGGAGAGGAGCTTGGACAGTGGAGGTGAGCGTATAACGCGCGTTAGTTAAGGGGCCCCTTAAACCTACACTTGGGTCGCAAGTCCCAGGCACTGTTGAAGCTCCTCTCCCTGCAACGCGATAGACCAACACCCGCACGGTGAATCCATGGAATGCTGAGAAGTTTCGTCAATATGTTATTAATTCCACTTTATTAAATAAGTTTATTTTCGTTTTGCAATAGTAACAAAATAATAATATAGTCGTAGATAAAGGTGTTTATAGAATAAAATAATAAAATACGTTTTCTTTTCTTTTTGTTTAATATTACCACTAACAAAGATAATAATAATTAATTTATGCTTTTGGGGACCGATTCACAATAATATTTATTGTTATATATTGTTACATAAAGAAACCTTCATGTATATATCAGTTAAATATTGTTACATAAATAACACTTCTGTGTTCGCATTTATTTTTCATTAAGCATAATTAACTTAAGTAAAATGTATTAGAATGGTACTTCAGAACTCAATATAAGGCCATAGAAAATTCATCATCTTTAGATACATTGGTTCAATATTAGGTTTAAATTAAAGGTAATTTTTTCAACTTATAATATTTAATACTAAGTAAGTAGATTCTAGTAGATCCTTTCCAAAGTCTACCGTTCTAAATCTAATTTGGAATATTAAGAGAAATATTACTTTAAAACTTTACGATACTTCTTGAGCTACCAAAGTTTCCTTTTAAATTTCTCCAAAGTCATGTTATGTGAACTCTAAACTGAGTTACGGATGAATCAACAAGGTCGCTACTAAATATTAAGAACTTTGCTTTACGTTACTTTTCAAAATGGGATACCTCAAGACATAAAAATTCACATCTTTTCTCTAATGAGATCTAAGATTTTCGCGAGTACTCATTTGAATGAAACTATTATTTTCGGATTTACTACGCGATTTTTTATTTTTGACTATTAATTACATACCTACTCCCGACGTTTCGGCTACTTTACGGTTGCTGTAATACACCGTGCTGTAATACACCGTCACGGTAATTCTAGCTAATACAAGAATAGACCGTTCATGCTCTTAGGTGAAAAATTGTAACAAAAATTTTTCTTCTTAACATTCAACTTATCAACTTAGCATTTCATTCCGAAAATTCACTATGTTCTTTTTAATCACTAAAATGATTTTTTCGTGGAATAAATTTTTTGTGTGGAATTCCTAAAACAACAGCATATGCTGAGTGACTCTTCTTTTTGTGACATCATACTGCTGAGTAAGCAGCATTTTGTTTTGATTTATTTATACCTGCTATTCTGTAATCTTCATTAGATATTATTTAATTGTATTGTTATTTTATGTTTTTGTTTTTTATTTCTGTTTATGTTAGCACTGTCTGGCAAAGATGTTCACAAATAAAACATTTTCTTTCTTCCTTTCAATCTTAATACACTCACTGTCTTAATTAAATAAATGCTGATAAAAATACTATACAAAACTATAATTATTTACACATGTATGTATATTTATGTCATCCTTAATCAATCTTCTTGTAAGATAAGCAGCTTATTTGATCTATTTTTTACATATACATATATTTTAAAAAACCTCGTGGTTGCTAAATCATTTAAAAGAATTTATCTATAAATTAATAAGATAAATTATTTAGTTTTTAAAGTCGGCGATGCAGTGAAAACTAAAACAATGAAATAATTACGTAAAACAATGTTATAACAAGATATATTGTAAATATGGAATAAATTACTGGAAATATTTTTCATATGTTTATAATTTATATAAACCGCAGTGAGTATATATATCTTCTAGCTTTTAAAATGTTAAATGTAAACCTGGTAGATTTAAAATAAACTACTATTTTACAATGATCTTGTACTATTTATAATACTTTCTATTTATAATCGCTTAACAATATAAAGTATAAATTTTAAATTCAAAAATCTTGAAAAAAAAATGTTTTGGATTTCTTTCAAACAATCTGCGTTTTGGATATTTTATGCACTTCGAATTTGTATTTCATTACAAAAGTTAAAATTATTATCATTATATAAAAACCAACTACAATGATAATTTTTATAAATTTAAAAGAAACTAGTGATTTAGAATATAAAGTTATCAAGATTTTGGAAAAAAATCCAAAGCTAAAATGTAATAGAACTGTATTATTTTGACACGCAATACAAAACAGACACAAACATTTTTTTACTAAGAAAATATGTGTTTTAAACAACGTCTAAAGGTGGGGTATATATTCTATCCATATCATCATAATAGTCTTAATAAAACCATAAAATCTTAAGCTCTTATTGTTATCTTAATTACATCATCAGATGGCTCCGCTATCATATTTCCCATTTCTTACTCTTATACACGTTTCTATACAAATTGTGATGAGTATTTAATATTAGCTTTTGAGTCTTTTATTTTAACCTAAGATGAAGAAATATTCATATTTTATGGAAACATTCCACTTAGAAGCTGCTTACAATTTAATCAAATGTAAATGAAACAATTAAATAAAAATGTAATATGGTAAAGACGAAAGTTACTCCAAGCTGGCAAGGCAAAGCCAATCGTAGTTGCAGTTTTAGACTGTTCCATTATGTAACGTGAAGTAATGTATGATACATTATAGCCACATGAATTATTTAATTTTATTACTTTTAACATTGCGGTAAGATGGTAACTGATATTACCGGAATAATTATGCTTATTATAGAATAATTATGCTTGTGACATGTGAATATTAATTATTATTAATTATCATTAGATAGCCAGCTCGATTTCTAAATTTATGTATAACATTATACAAATTATGTCACTATAGAGATACATATATAAAATATTTTGTACAGCATTTATAGTGAAATATAAACAAAACACAAAGTTTTAAGTTACTTTGATTAAACATTTAAATATCCGACCTTCAATTTCGTCTGATATACCTATAGCTTATACGTATATAAGAGCTTATGTTGATCAATGAACAATCCTCAATCATTCACTGGATTATGTGTATTATCCCTTGTCTTAAGTTAAAACAAGTAAAGTAAAGTTGATTTTATAAATGAAAAAAATCTAAGTTATGTGGTAATTAGAATTTGGGTTAAGTGATTTATATTTGATTTTGGAATTTCATACAAATATGTTTCAACATTAGTCGCTATTGGAAAAATTATGACAAAAAGGACTGTTTTTTTCAAATTGGTTGCCAGTAATAGATCACGTCACTTAGATCCCTTAAGTATACAAATCTGTATCGTCTATTATACAAGTAATAAGCTTAACGACAAGGGGTATTCGTAAAATCTTACCGCTAATGTTACAATACTGAACATTTATTCCGTTTCATAATTTGAGAAGAAAGGCGAGTTATTATTGATAATTCCAAACTCATACATTACTTATATTGATGCTGTAGTTTGTGGAATAAGTTACTACGAAGTGAATTAGATAAAACAATTATTTTATAATTTTTTACTGTATAAAAGCGTTATTGAGAAATATTTTAATAAATATTATTATTGCTTCAAAAAATGACCTTAATGTTATCAATGAATTTTACAAATATAATATTTTCCTCACAAGATTATTAATTTGGCTGCTTTCAAATCCCTAATCGAATCCTTATATTGGTAAGTCATAAAATAGTTTTTGAATATCTCAGTAATTTATCCAAACAATTATTTACCTTAATAAATGTTGTTAAGTTGATAGTAATAATGAGGCTCAAACATTTGAGAAACACTGTATTTAATTTACAGTGTTACTATCGTAGCTGAAATATTCTGAAACACACCTTAGTTATTATTTCTGAGCACACGATGCAAAGAATTATATTTATAAAATAAAATATATATACATATATATACTCTGTATTTAGATTTCAATGAATGAAATTGAAAAAAGTAAACAAATTATTGTCAAGTCAACAAACTTTTAGTAACAATACATAGTTTGGAATCTTAATTGATTGACGATTGTATGTGTGTTTGTAGTGACAGTGTGTAAATGTTGTTATTTATTTCTAATACATTTTATATAATGCACGTCGTTACTTGTGCACTTCTCCATAAAACTTTGAGCGTGTCAAGTTCGATGTTCAATCGTTGACGCAGTTCTCTTAAAACTTAATATCTGATTAATATTTTTCAAAAATATATCTTCCTGTTAGAATAAAATTCTGCAACATATATATGCAAAGGTCTAGCCATTGATACAAATAAAAATATGCAAACGACACTCAAACGATATGTGAGGATGATATAAAATTATCATAATGCTTCATTGATCTTTTTATTATTCTGTCCGTTATTGAATAAAATAGATGTTTAAAGTATACATAAAATAATAATGATTGAAATGTTTTATTAAATACTACTTACAACCCGTGATTTCATTTTGAACTACACGGAAAGGCATTATAAAAATTTTGTGCGGAAGAGCAATAACATTGACTTAATACATGCTTCACAAACTTATAATATCCATAATATTTATAGAATATATCTCTGTGTACCTTATTTTTTGTATAAGATAAAGAAACAGGATAAAAATAATGACACTATTCTATAAAATATTATTAGGAATCCAGTTTCAAAATATATATTTTGCGAAAGAAAATAGAAATTTTTTCTATATTTATGATGAATTTAAATAAATTGATGCATCCTTTCTTACTTGTTAATATTGGTTTGTTCGAGAACATACTAATTCGGAGCGACATTCAACTGAGGCTTTAATTTCATTGACGTTTTTTCGCGTTTGATAAATAACAACTTGGATTGTTGACAATGAAAAATATTCCTAAGTCGGTATAGCAAATATTTTATTAAGTGGAAGATTTTTATTGATTTCCATTGAAATATATTTTTAGTTTTACTCTATGATTTTACGAATGATGAATATAGTTAAAGGTAACTTAATTTATTGGATACGTACTCGTAACGGATTTTTATCAAATATATATTGAAGTCATTGTTTATTGAGTTACATACATTTCTTTCGAAAATATGACATAAAATATAAGTAGTATAACACAAAGTACTATTGCATACACAATGAATATGCTAATTTAATTTTGGACGATTTTCAGTACATTCATATACAATTACATGTTCGTTTTCTATGACAGGTAAGAAACATAGTGTGCATTTCACATTCAAAGTTGAGATGATAGTTCTTTGTTTACTTGCAGTTGTAAGAAGTTATATGATTAGTTTAATTTATTAACTGAGTAGTTTAGGGAAACTTTAAGGAAATA